GAGAACTGAGAACTGGAATGAATTGCACCTAACATAGGGACTGCCTCTGAAACAGCTCCAACAAGTGACTGCTCAGTAGTAGCTTTTGTCTGAATAACCAAGTTCTGGCAAGCGTACTAGCTTTCAAAGTATCCTGTGTCATGGATAGGCAATTCTGACTAGTAGAAAGTTCTTTCTTACATTAAGCGGAACTCTACTTTCCTGTGGGTAACTCCAGGGTAAGAATCACCCTCTGTATTCACTGGTTAGTCAACGTGGGACTCTTATGTGTATTAAATGAGACAATATGGGTAAAAAGTCCAACCCAATATAGTAGTAGGCACTCAATAAATAGTAGCTATTTTTATCTCTAAAAATCTCTGGTGGAGCTGTGGATTAGGCATGGGGCTGCTAAATGCAAAGTCAGAAGTTCAAAGTCACCAGCTACTCCATCGGAGAAAGATGACGTTGTCTGCTTCTGTTAAGATTTATAATCTTATTTAGGGTCACTAGGAGTTGGAATCAACTCCATGGCAGTGGGCATGGTTTCTGGTTTATTTTTATATCTGGAATTCCAGGGTGGTACAAATGGCTGCTGCTAACTGAAAGATGGGAGGTTTGAGTCCACTCATAGTTGCCTTGGAAGAAAAGTACTGTTTAAAAAAAAAAAAAATCAAGCACGGAAAATCTTATAGAGTATGTATGTACGTGCTCCTAGGCTAGGAAAGGAGGACAGTTTATTAGTTAAGAACTATTCTTGAATTTTTCAATTATCAAGGGTTTAAAGACTAGAAAGGAAAACTCAAACATTTTTTGATTCTCTATGATGTCTATGCAGAGTCCTGGTGTGGCACTATAGGATAGGCACTGGACTACAAACTGAAAGGGTCAGCAGTTCAAATTCACCAGTTACTCCTCAGAAACCCTATACAGGGTTGCTAGGAGTCAGAACCCACTCAACAACACTTAACAACAACAATAGATTGCCTTGGAAGAAAGTCCTGGTGAAAAAATCAGCTATTGAAAACCCTATGGAATAAGTACAATTCTACACAGGCATACATGGGGTTGCTAAGAGTCAGAAGTGACTCAATAGCATTTGGTATTCTTATCGTTGAGAGTCCTTCAAATAACTGGAGACACTCCACATATTATGTTTACTCTTTTCTAAGCTAAACATCCCCAGGACATCTAGTAATAAAATTTTCAGATCCCTTATATTGAGATGTGCTCACCGGTCTTAAAAGTGCCCTGAACATAACAATTCAGAATTACTCAGTAGAGTACAATTCCTTTGGTCTGGTCTATACATCCTAATACACTAAGAGGAAGTCAGCTCACAAGGACCAGTGGCGAGGACAACAAAAGCACACAGATTTGCTTCAGAGCTTAGTCATGGCTTTATAGTAAAGGGTTTTATATTTGTTCCCTGTTTCATCATGTTGACCATATCTGACTCATTTTCTCCTGTCAGGATTGTTTTGAATCTTAAATGTCTGAACGACATTTCTTGGTAAAACTTAAGATCTGATTTCTAAGAATCAGAATGTAGAAGTTGGAAAATGTCTTCAGAGGATGCCTAGTGGAACCTCCTTCTAAATTATCTATATATCTTTTAATTTGCTCCTCAAATAAGAATGAAATCACAATTTGTTTCTTAAATAACAAAACACTTTTCTTATACTGAGGTAAAAAGCCTGACACAAGTACAAGATGGTAAATATCAGGATCTCACAAAGTTTATTTTAATAACAAAGTAGAGCAAAAAACTTTCTTTGGGAATTGAAGGTCAATAATCTAGCTTAATTACGCATTTAGAAATTACAGGTATGAGAAGCTAATAAATATATTTACTTAAGTTTATTTGCCTTGTTGTCAGACTATCATGCTGTTTATATTTGTAAAGTCTCACCTCAAAATTAACTAGATTTGTTTGAGGTGTTAAAAATTTTAGCACAATCAGCCAGGCTGAGTACTTAAATGTCATTTCATGAAAATGGGAGAGGAGTAATCCCAAATACATAGAACTTTGGTAAGACTTCTGATTTAGGACAATGGCATTAAGCCCTTGATAAATGTGCAGAGCGTGGTAAGGGTAGGGCAGAATGCCTTTGCCTCCAGCTGGAGCCCCTCTCTGGGCAGCCATCTCACTATCTACTGCAGGAGAAGGGCTGGATCATCACAGTTCCAAATGGCTGCCTTGACAACTAATCCCTACTGCTTCGTCTTGCTGGGTCAAGGAGTCCAGTGTAGTGCTGTCGGATAAACACTGGACCACAAGGTCTATTTAAACTGTCAAGTCAGGGGTTCAAAGCCACCAGTCACACCTTGGAAACTCTATATAGGGTTGCAATGAGTTGTAACTAACTCGAAGGCACATAACAACAATAGAATGGATCAGTCTTGCTGAAATAACAATATATAGTATTAGTGTCTAATAACACTGTCAAAAAAGTAAACAAGACTAGGTATACACCTAGAGGTAAAGCTCACTATCAATTTTCATACAAATGTCTAAAAGGCCAAGAGATGGGAGATATTTATACATATTCATATATTACAAGAGGATGAAATTATCTGTAAAATTATAAAAGAGTAAAATGAAAACAAAACAAAAGGTATCTCAGTTTGGCTGTAAGTTTCTTAGTAGATAACGGCAAAAAAGGGAAGATTTCACAGAATTCATTAAAGAAGAAATGATTATAAATTTATTCGCTAAAACAAACTTTCCCCTGGAATAAACTTACGTAGAAATTTTCATCAATAAAGAGACATTACTAAGAACTGCTGCTTTTCTCTCTTACAATAAAAACAGGCTTTTAAGAAAGTTAAGAATTCACGCTTATTAAAAAACACACACATGAAAGTACGAGAAAAAACAACCTCCAAAATTATTAATAACTTAATAAACATTAGTATTTTTGTGACCATTCATTTAATTACATTCTCACATATGTGAACTTTCATGCACACACACACACACACACACAAAACCACTCTGATTCAATTTCTCTCATGAATATTGTCCTTCATAGTGATTTTGAGTGAAGGCACCATAATATTCAAATGAACAATTTCAATATCCACCTTCTACGAAGGCTGATGAGAGAAGGGTTGGACTAAGACAGGGATCTAAGATCCATGACTTAGATTCTAAGTCATGAAGGCATTTATGCATGGAACTGATATATTATGGTCCAGGTACTTTGATTCCTAATAGCTAACATGTCTACTGAGCATTCTCTAAAATATCTCATGTATGAGCTGAGCATCTGGTCTGAGAAGCAGGTTACCAATGAATTGCTTAACAATCCTTTAAAAGTACCCAAAATGCTGCTGTTGTTGGTTATCATTTATATATGAAAATTTGAAGAAGTAAGCTTATGTCATCATCTAGTTTAAAGGATTAGTATGGAAGTAAGCAAAAGGGATGATGGCAGGTAAAGTCAATATTTTCCTCTGAATTGAGGTTTGCATCTTAGGTACTTCCAGAGTACCTACGGTCTGTATCCTATTTCATGGAAGAAATCAAATTCCTTTGATTACTTCCATGAATTTTGATAGCATCCCAGTGGAATTGTTTTGGCTAACATTTATTGAGCACTCATTATGTACCAGGCACTGTGCTAAACACTTTATATGCTAATTATCACAACAACCCTATGATGCAGTCCTACACTTATCCCTGTCTTAACAGATAAGTAAAATGAGCTTCAAATGAATATAGGTGACCAGGTCTCACAACTTAAAAGGAAGGAGCTGGGATTTTACTCAGGTCTATCTGATTCTAGAGTCTGAGCAATTAACAGTTGACCAATTGGGTGAGGCCATGACTACTCATCTGAACTGGCCATGACATCTTCTCTGTAATGGGTCAAGGATGCCATATGGCATTTCTTAACAATGATCTAGCAATTTCATTGGAAGTAGCCTGTTGTTTCTTGTACTTTGTTTCTGAACAAGTCAATGGGCAGCTGATTAAGTTAACTGTATAAAGTTGTCTGGCCATTACTAATTAATGTGCCAGTACATAACTGAATATGGAGAGCCTATGAGTTCCATCTGTACCAAGCCAGGTTCAATTGTGGGCAGTGCCCCGGAGTTGCCTTCATTTCTAATTAGTTTTCATGAACACTGGTACCAGAGATGATGGAATAATAGCCTACTGTAAATGCTCTACATTTAAGACAATACAAACAAGCAAGGATTCTTTCTACAATATTTAATTCCTGTGAAAACTACTTTTGGAAAATCACTGGATCAAAATGGTCTGTAACAGTCATCTAGTCCAACTTTCCAGCCTCCAAAAGCATTTAACCTCCAAGTAGCCTGTCAAGTTATATCCAGCTCCTGCATTCTAAGGCCCCAGCACTTCAAATTCTCAAGGCATTCCATTCCACTGTTCAGCAGCCTAACTGCCTCATTTTCTTTCTCTTATTGACGTGACATATATTTGTAATCCTGCACTCTACAACATGGTCCTCATTTTACCCTTCAGAGTCAGAATCTACACTTATTTTCTTTCCCCCCTAATGTCTTCTTAAAATTTGGAAGTAGCAGGTCTTCTACATTGTTTTTTTTCTGGCAGGTTAAAATCCAAGCTACTGCTCCCTGAACATGGACTAAAGTGTCAGTGTTCCACCTAAAGTTCTGTGTCAGACACAGCAGAGTGGAGCCATCCTTTGACTGACTAGGACATGGATACTCCTTACACCTCTAAGACTGCACTGGTTCCCCTGGCATTTGTATTACATTGCTGCTTCACTCCAAATTTGTGGCTAATCAGAAAGTTTGTATCTTTTCTCAAGTGAACTGTGGTTGAGCAAAGTGAACTCCCAACTGTACTACTGACTAAAAACGTGTTAATAAAATAAATTATTTTGGTATCTATGATCTTATTAGGATCAATTTGAAATTAGTGGAAAGCCAATTCTTATTACCACCTTTATGAAAAGTACAATTTTGGGGGAATCATCTGGCACATGCAATCCAAAGAACAAACTAAACGATTTGTTACTTACTCATTAGCATTCAAGCTAGCTGTGGCTCTGATGATCATGTAGCAGAGTGTGAGAGCACTGAGGAGGCCAAAACTGGCAATAATAAACCATTCTTCTGTTGACAAAGGAAAGGGAGGAAATCATTCTGGGGAGAAGGCTTAAGTCAAATCGACGTCAACATTTCTCTCAAATGCAACGAAGCAGATGTCAACGGAGGTGTGAGCCAAGATTGGCCCAAGGAAGTGAAGCAGAAGGAGATTTGCCAGAGAGCTACTAGACTGGAGAAGGTTAGTGGAAGTAGTGCTGAAAGCTGTAAGGGAGAAAGGAAAGCATGGCCGAACCAGTTTTGTTTTTTTTTTTTTTTTTTTTTTTTTCAGTTAAGGTGCTGAGGTTTGTAAGGAGTGTGGCCACCAAAAAGTGCATAGTCAAAATATATATATGAAATTGCACAGGGACATGTTTTTTATTGTTAAATAACGGAAAAATGAACTAGCGATACTTAAAACCTTATTTCCTTCTTCATTTTGTCTCTTTCACATGATTATAAAACTCATTCTTAGATAAAGGCTTTGAAGAATAGAGAAGAGGTTGTCAAAGGTCATGTGGGTACACCAAGCAGTTGAGAGTTGGCCTTCCATGGCATTCATGCCTATTCTCTTTTTATTTGTGTATGGATTTACTTATAATAGTTACATTTAAAGGACTTCTCACTGATGCCTCATGAAAGGAGGGACTGCCTTTCAAGGCTACATTGCTGGGAAGAGCACTGGGTTTTCTGGCTTTGTGAAGCAGAAGTAAGAAGGTAGGTGATTTATGAGGCAGATGGTCCACCAAAGAGTTGAAAACCTTTCATGCACAGTATTCTAAGGGTTCTTCTCTAGTCTCTCTCTCTAAATCTAAGAAGTTAGTTAATATTTCCCCTTAACTTTAAAAAAAGTCTGTATTGCCAAGGTAATATTCCAGAAACAGTATTTTTTGGGAACTTCAAAAATAATTTGAGAACCAATTTGCTTTCCTAAAAAATTATAAAATATTTCCTACAGCAAACACTAATTAGGACTGCATTTATAAAACTATGCACAATAAGATTCCCTATCTATCTGCACAAGACAAAGAGAAGAAACACAAGGGCGTTTAAAAAAAGTTCAAGGAAAAATTTAATTTCCTCTTAATTCCATTTTTCCACGAACTTTTTGAAGCTCCTTCACATTTATATTTGGAGTGCCAATATGCAAAAGCTGTGTTTAACATTTAATCTGTATTCATGAAACCTAAAATTTTATGTAAAATGAATTGTGGATAGGCATTTTTCTATAGAAAATTATACTTTTAGTCATCTTTAAAGGTGATGATCTATAGAAAGTTAAGAAGAACTGCCCATAACATTACTTGGCTGACCTTGGTTTATATATTATTATAACACTTAGCAAAACCTTTCCTTTTAGATAACAGTGAAGGTTTTGTTTCTTGATTCAAAAATTCCTCACCAGAAGAGTGCATTCACAAGGTTTTTACTTAACTTACAATAAACTTTCAAGAATCCATAAAAAAAACTACCTTTTCACTATATATATTTACCTATATACATATGGTTATGAATCAGGCTGCGAACCGCAAGGTCAGCAGTTCGAAACTACCAGCTGTTCCGCAGGAGAAAGATGAGGCTTTCTGCTCCCGTAAAGATTTATAGCCTCAGAAATCCTGTACAGGGTTGCTATGAGTCGGAACCTACTCCATGGCACATAACCACTACTACCATATACATATTTAGGAGTCCTGGTGTGGTGCCATAGGATAAGCACTTGATATCAAGATTGGTTTGAACAGCGAGATCGGTAGTTAAAACTATCCAGCCGCTCCTTGGAAACCCTATACAGGGTTCTCTGAGTCGGAACTGACTCTACAGCACTTAATGTCAACAACAGCAACATATACATATTTAGGAAAAATGTGTATTTGCACTTAAAAAATCAAGAGTTGAGTAGTCTTCATCATCAAGTCACTGAGCATTGTTGTTTCTTCTTAAAGATTTTCATACATGATAAAGATTAAGTGGTAGAAACTTCGATTATGTTTATGTTTCCTAATTCTGAATATACCATCCACATCTGTTTGGCATTTTAGTTATAAAAACTAGTAATCAAGATATAAACACCACCATAGCAATGCCCACAGGACTAGGGGTATTTTGGCAGCGATCCACGGCGCCAGGGCCTTAACACCTCTGTCCTTCTCAGTGCTAAGTTAGCACAGTGCCTTGCACATGGCTGCTGCTGGCTGAATGCACTGTAATCATTATGGACTACAGTTCCTTGGAGGAAAACACTGAAGCCGTTTTGGTCTAATTTAATCACATATATATATATATTTTTAAACTAGCATTCATAAACTCTGCTAAAGGTGATTAATTTGGTATACAAAATAATATTCTTTACCATCCAAACAAGATTTTCTAAGGACATTTTTACATAACATATAAAAGGGTCAGTACTTGATGTAGTAGTAGGTGCTCAATAAATGTCTGATCAATAAAGGATCTGCAAAAACTTACTATAAAACCAACAAACAACCTCTGTCTCTTAGATTACTACTAGATCAATTTTAAAAATTATAGACCATAAAATTGAAATGCCAAAGTATGAAAAACAAAATGCTAGGAAAACAAATGACTAGGAAATGGTAAGAAATGAGTAATTTTACTTATTTCATAATTGAAATAAGACAAGTAACAATAAAATTTTGGAAAGAATTTAAAAAAAAATTTTGGTTGGTTAAAAATTATGTGTACTTCAACTGAATAGACCACAAAATAAATGAAGTCTTAATATGGGAAGTAAATACTATTTTCTAATGTTGTTGTTAGGTGCCATCAAGTCGGTACCGACTCATAGTGACCCTATGCACAACAGAACGAAACACTGCCCGGTCCTGGGCGAACCTCACAATTGTTGCAATGTTTGAGCCCATTGATGCTGCCACTTTGCCAATCCATCTCACTGGGGGGTCTTCCTCTTTTTCTCCCATGTAATTGACTCTCAGGGTTAAGCAGAGTCCCATCAGGTTCAGGGCATGAAGTTCTTGGCAAGCAACAGCATATACTGAAAGAGGCAGCACCAGAGTGGCAACACAGAAGATGAGACGAAAGTTGTTAGATGAAAATAAAAATGGAAAGAATGGAACTAGAGAAAAGAGCTGACTTATTAAGGGTGAATGTCTACACCGGTCATACATACGTTGGGTAAGACCACTCATACTGTATTTAGGTATTACCATCAAAACATAAAAGTGCTTCTTCGCTCATAACTTTTTAAAACGTCAGATTACTTTCTGACTTTCTTTCTGCCTTGTGTACAAAACTATACCAGAGTTAAGGGTTAAGAGACAAACGCTAAACCAACTCTTCCATAAAACATAGAAAACAAAGACCATCTCAATTATTTCTGAAGTTGTGAATTTTCATGTTTTAATTCTAGACTGGTGGTTTATGGTTATATGAAACTTAGCAAATATAAAGCACGAATGCTTACAGTTAAAAAACATACCAGAGATGCTGCTGATAGCCTATATCAAATTCTAAAATTATCTTTTACAATACCTGTTTGAAATGCAATGATTTCAAAATATGTTTATAAAACAGCTGCCAAAGCAAATCTCTGAACACTACTCATCAAATGATGGCTCCTACTATTATTTATACACAAATACACAAGCTCTTTAATATAAAGTTTCGTTATTCCAAATAGCTGTTTAACAAAAACACACATTACTTTCTTGGTTACACACTAAATTGGACGCAGAAGTGAATTTCTCAACTCTCCACAGGTTAAACACGAGAAGAAAAAAACTGCCTGCCCCTGGGGCAAGGAGTCCCCACTTACTTGTTACTGCAATGTTGATTTCTCCTGTTCTAGGAGTAAGTTCCCCATCCTGAGGAAGAGGCGATATCCCCGAAGTTCGAAGTGGCTCAAGGCCAAGGGAGTTGTCGTTGGCAAGGTCACCAAGGGCTGATCTTCGGTTAACTGCCTGGGTTCGGGTGAGCCTTTCCATATCAAATGCTACGTTATCAGTACATGGCAAATTTGGCTGAAAAATATTTCCATATTGAAAGTAACTGTAAGAATAACAAATCCTTTTACAAAATTCTGTTTGACACCCTTTAGAAATGATATAAGCAAGGTTTTTCCATGAGGTTTCCTTCCATTTCTTTTCCAGTTTACTCTTTCCACTTTTACCCAAAAGTTTTTCAACAAAAGGTATAGATTATATCCTCTCAAGAAAGGCAAAAGTAAAGCCCAAGGCAGAACTGAAAATATTGGCCATTGCATCTTTATACAGAAACGACAGTCTTTTGTGGACACAGTTCACAAGAAATGGGAAGTCATACTGCTGGCTGTTGTTAGTTGCTATCGAGTTGATTTCACTCACAGTGAACTCATGTGTGCTGAAGTAGTTTGCCAGGCCTTACTCCTGAGGAGCCAACCTTTTGGTTAGCAGTCCAGCACTTAATCGTTTGTGCCAACTAAGAAATCCTTTATTAAATGATTTTAAAATGGTTTGTTGTTGTTAGGTGCCATCGAGTTGGTACCGACTCATAGCGACCCTATGCACAACTCTTAACTGTTTGACTCTCATATTAATGTAGTGGGATGGCAGGTAATGAATGGAGTACCACTTTTATCCTATTTATTTCTTTATTATGCACCATTTATCTAGAAATCAGTTTTTAAATATCTTCTATCTTTTTGTTCTTGTGAAGCGCTGTTGAAGACAGTTTCGACTCATAGTGACCCTGTATACAGTTTCCGAGGAGTGGCTGGTGGGTTTGAATCACCGACCTTGTGGTCCAGTGCATTATCCTGCATCACCATACCAGGTCTACCTTTAAATACAAGTAAAGCACATACCCAAGATCAGATAAAAGTAAAAGACTTTTGAACTGTAAGGAAACAATCTGTTAAAAAAATCTAAGCACCTAATTCTGAAGATTTGGTGCCAAAACCTATCAGTAAAATACAGGCATATAAGTCTTCTCATTTAATAATATGGATATAGGGTTTCCCTAGTAACCTTCAGTTCTCTTAGCCTCCAGTGGACAGCATTTTAGAAACCTAGATAAGAAGGCTGGCAGAGAGAAACTTATATACAAATCCAGAACCAATGGCTTCCTAGGCAAAGAACTCTTGTTTTATATTACCCTAGAGACTTATTTGAAGAATGACATCACAACATAAGAACTGATACTTAAATTATGCCCAAGATTCTCTGGCAGCACAATGATCAATGCTTGGCTACTATCTGAAAGGTTGGCAATTTGAACTCACCCAGCGATTCCTTGGGAGAAAAGACCTGGAGATCTGTTCCCATAAAAATTAGAGCTTAGAAAACCCCATGGAGCAGTTCTGCCATCACACTGGGGCACTATGAGTCAAAATTAATTTGATTGTACCTAACTCCACCACCACCACCAACATAATGATGCTCAGTTAGACGAGACTTACTATATTATAGTTAAGGAGTCATTGTAGGTTATAATACAGTTTAGAAGAATTTCCATTACATATAGAGGGGGAAAAGTATTAGCCTTTTTAAAAAACAAAAAACAAGGCTAGAGGCAATGAGAAAGGCTAAATTGGTATTTCCCAAGTATGTTTATATGCCAAGCATTATGGCAGATGCTTTATGTTAAATCAGCCTTAACTGGGAGTGACTTTTTCCTAAGGGCATTTGGCAATGTCTGGAAACATTTTTGATGATCTTGACTGGAGTGTTACACTATTGCATTTCATGTTAAAAGCCAGGAACGCTGTTAACCAGCCTACAACCCTCCCCACAACAAGGAAGTAGTATTTGGTGTAAAAAGTTCAACCCTCCCCACAACAAGGAAGTAGTATCTGGTGTAAAAAGTCACTTGTACCCAGGTTGAGAAAACCTGTGTGAGAGTAAAACTTCACTGGTGTGGAACATCTTAGTCTCAGGCAATTACTGCCCGACTGGGCTGCACCTAATCTTTAGTTTGATACTATCTTTCAAATGTAACTATTTAGATCTTCTTTGGGTTGCAAAGATATAATAATGAGTTCTCCTGTTGGATAAAACTCAACTTTTTCTCTATAGAGATTATTATTCATTCACTCTTTTTTTTGAGACCAGAAAGTATTTTATTTTCCTTAAAATGAAAAGAGGGCTGCAAAAAGTTCATGGAAAAATTCTATTATCTTTTAATTCCCTTTTTACACAAACATTTTGAAGCCCTCTTGTATGCACGCTTCTCTTAAACAAGGAAATGTAGAGCGTTCTCAAGGACTTTGGTAAATCAGCACGGATTTAGCACTTGCCAAATCTGAAGTACCAGATGCAGCACACCTGGTTATAGCACCTGCCAGGCCCTCAAAGGTTTCTGCCCACATCCACTGTTCATACCTTACTAACAAGTCAGGCCAAGGCCAACGGATCAGGAAGGAACACAAGTGATGAGTCTTACATTATGCTGATTAAGATACTGGAATACAGAAAAATCACACCTTTCTCACTATTTTAATTCTTTATCACACACCCACCACTCAACAGAAGCATTCTTTGAAAAGTGGACTAGTATCATTATTGATATTCTTTTCCAGGCATTCTTTCACATGGATTAGACGTTAAGTAATCTGGAAGAAAGGCACTGTTGGATTAACTCGTTTGTGAGAGTTAACCATGCTTCTTCTGATGCCAATTGTGCTATATGAGTATTATTGTGACACTCAGACACGATCTTACACAATAGGAGTAACAAAGTAGGAAACATACCACAATTCCCAGGGCCTTCAAAATATTGAGTTTGCACATAGGACAGGTACAATGTTCACTAAGCCAGGGGTCCACGCAGGATTTGTGGAAAACATGTCTGTAAAATAATGGAAAATTACATCACAAATTATATACTGAAAATCTACTAGCCACAAATGCAAAGAATTTTTAATTAGTCTTGTTTTCTTTCCCTTTAAGAACATATTTGCAAGTCCTAAAAGATAAATACTGGGGATTTACTATAGTTTGCAAAAAATCTCCTAAACCCAGTATTATGTATCTATACCACCATATATTGAGGACTGATTAGGCTGTTTTAACTTTTCATTTCACCATATTTCAAAATGGACTTGAGAAAACTTACAAACCTTATTAAGAATGGAGACCATGAATCAAACCTTAAAGATTTTTGAAAAATAGTAATCCTGGTGTGGCGCTGTATGGCAAGTATTAGATTGCTGAAAGGTTGGCAGTTCAAATCCACTACTACTCCTCAGAAACCCTTTACAGGGTCACTGTAAGTCAGAATCGACTCGACATTTAACAACAACAAAGCAGAAAAATGTAATTTCAAAAGGATATTTAACAAGGGTTGAATAAAGAGTGCTCTGTATATTAATTAGTTTCATGGAACCCTATTTAAGTCACTTAAAATATTTTATCAAAATTCAAAGCAATCTATGTTACCTCTAGTTATAAAGTAGTTGCAACTATTTTTAGGGCTGTGCTGTGTTTGAGTCAAATAACACTTAGTTAGCAGTCTGCAGTCAAAACGTTAAAGGGGAGGATGGCTGATGTTTCTCTTATTCAGGAGAGCAGACAGTCATATCCTCGTGACTAGAAATAAGTCAGTCATAGAGAATTCTGCATTCTGAGAAAAGGAACTTGTGTCCTTTGGGAAGAAAAAAAAAAAAAAAAGACTTGGAGGGAGCTGCAGAAATTATTTCCCAAGTTCAAGTACCTCTGCATGGCAGCCTTGAGAAGCTGAAATGAAGCCATGTGGAAGCCCTGGAGTCCTGGACAACTAGGATAGGGCAGATGCCAGGATAGATATTCAGGGAGGGCCCTGGTGGCACTGTCGGTTAGGCTGTTAGGCTGTTAACTACAAGGTAAACAGTTCAAAACCACCAGTTGCTCCAGGAAAGGAAGATGAGGCTGTTTGCTCCCTTAAAGATTTATAGTCTTTGGAAACCTTGTTTAGGTATAGGGTCAATATGCGTTGGAATTGATGGCAGTGGGTTTGGAAGGAATGCTATCATCTGAGTCTTGGGATAAAATAAAGAAATGTTGAGAAAGATACAAAATTGAATTATGGCATGACTTTAAAAATGTTGATTGTTAATTTATAATTTAATATTGTTACATAAGCTGTTTAAAAATATATTAGCTTTTGGTTTAAAAGTACAAAATTCAACTTTGATTTAAAAAGTAAGATGTTTAGAAAACTCAGGTTTTAATTGGGATTTGTAATAAGCATTTTGCATACAGGACTCCTGGTGTGGTGCTGTAGGATAAGCACTGGGCTGCTTACCACAAGGTCATCAGTTTAAACCCACTAGTGGCCCCTGGGAAGTTGATATAAATCAGAACTGACTTGATGGCACTTAACAACTAACAACATACAGTTTCAGCCTGAACATACATACTTATCTACCTATTACCACTTGGTGACCTTGTATCTATTTTTTTGGGATAAGGATACAGATCTTGAAGTCTGAATCAATCAACTCTGAAACTTGTAGATAATGGAGTTAACTAGACCCTTATCATACCTGAAAGGCTTTTATTTAAATCCTTAAGGAGTTTATTTAAGGAATGGAAAGTCATCAATCTGTAGGTGGGACTTGAATTCACTTAGTATACATAGTTTCATCAACTTCTTGTTACATTCAACACTCATGCTTGGGTCCACGTATAAGTGATCCACGATTAAGATGAAGGGTAGGTTGCTATTGCTGGGTTGAAGTGGATTCTCAGAGCCAGAGAGTTTACATTCTAGTCAGTTCCAATACTGACTGTAGTCTAGCTAGACTTAACCCTTTTGGGAACATAGATTCCTTTAGATCTGACAGCACATATAGAATCCTTCCCTAAAATTATGAAGGGCATACCTGGCATAAATTTCCAGGAGGTTGTTGGACCCCTGGTTAAAGAACCCTGAGAATCTGCTTTGTATTGGGTGGGAGTGGGTTGGCTGGAAAGGTGCTCTAGGTCAGTTCTATGTAGGATGACAGAGGAATTGGTGGGTGGACAGATGATAGGAGAAATAAAGTATGTGATCTCTGATAGGGCCAGGGGAGGATCAGGGCTGCTTTGGTGTAGGGTTGGGAGGCAGAGAGGGCAGATGAATTTAATCAGCTGTTGGGTGGAGACACTGGTGAAAGAAATCAAGGAGCAATGACTTTGGGTAAACAGTGGTTTAGTTTTTGTCATTCTATATTCTTAAGTACTTCTATTTCTTCCCTTTTCTTTTTATATTACTGAGTATTCAGAAAGAACAAAATTACATAATCTCTTTATTTAATTTTTAAAGCGGCATGAGTTAAGTGTTCTTTGCCCATCCCTTCCTTTAACTGTGCATTATTAATAGTTAATGATGGACTTTTTTATGTCGGGGTTCTTGAATAAATGTCCTCCTGTAGCTTTATTGATCAAAAAGAAAAAGCACCCCTCCTCCTAGTTTTACTAAGTACAATCTCTTCTCTGAACTGTAGGGTATTGTAATGAAAGCAACAAAGACTAACTAACTGACTCTCCAGGAACAAATCTAGAGAATGTTTTTCTTTCTTTAAAAACAAAAAAAACGTTTCCTTTTACCTATCCATCTACCCCATTACTTTCTTATCACCATTCCCATTCTTTTGGCAAAATTACCAACATTTTCATCTCTTTCCTTCCTATTATTTAGCATGGCATGGTGCTGTCTGTTACGCTCTGAACTGCTAACCACAAGGTCAGTGGTTTAAACCCATCAGTTACTCCTTGGAATCCCTATATAGGGTTGCTATGAGTAGGGACCAACAAAATGGCACTTAACAACACAACATGCTTTCAGATGCTCAAACAGTCCAGCTTCTGTGCATCTTGCCCAGATATCTTGAGTCTCTAATTCCCACAGCACATCACTCTCTTCTGAAAACAAAATTGAGCAATTTTTCTCTTCACTCACTGATCTTGGTACAAACAAAACCAGCACTCTCCTTTCTATCACTAATGTGATATACTGCTGAGTTGGTTCCAACTCAAAAGAAACCCTTTATAGGGTTTCCAAGGCTGTAAATTTTTACAGAAGCAGAGAGCCTCATTTTTCTCCCATGGAGCTGTTGGTGGATTTGAACTACTGACCTTGTGGTTAGCAGTCCAATGTGTAAACACTACATTGCCAGGACTCCATCACTAATGAAATTAGTGTAAAAACCGCCCTGGAGAGTAGCTTCTCTTTTCAGCATCATTCATTCTCTTAACATTCTTGCTTCTGTCTCCTCAGTGCTACTGTGGCACCCAACTCAAGGTGACCTTTCCCTATCTTCTAAGAAAAGCTTTACTATTAGAACTGTCTAACAAACCACCCTTTCTGAGTCAGCTTTTTCATCTGAAAAAGTGCAGGGGACAAGGCGTAGTGGAGAAAGGTGTTTGTAGTAGTAAATGAAAAACTGTGTATGAGATACTTAGAAAAGTACCAAGGACTGTACAAATGAAAGGACAAAAATACATTCAGGCAAAGTAATGCAGATTTTCACATGATATCCCAATAAATGGTTTAGACATTCTTCCAATGTGCCTTAGTCCCCAAGACATTCTAGTACGCACGTGCCTGGTCCTACCAACATCTATAAAAGACCTCAGAAGGTGGCACTTGGGGTGATCCTTAAATACGCCCCTCCTCACTGTTATAATGAAACAGATTCAAATGACAATCCACATAAAAGTAGAAAAAGCCCACTATATATTACGTTGGGTGGTGTACTGGGGTGGAAAGCTGGTGATATGTTGAGGAATAGTAAAACAGGAAAACCACAAGTATACTGGAGCTTCAACCAAAAAGTCCTTTATTCCTATACGAAAGATTTTGGCATACAGAATGTGAAATGTACAGAACATATAAGGAACAAACCCAGTAATTCTTAAATCAAGTACTGACCCCTTTCCTACTTCCCACACATGCCCACAAGCCAGAGAGTAATCAGAAAGTAGCTAGGGGTGGAGTGACAAGTCTATGTTGAAGGTAAGTTGTTTTCACAGCTCTGTAGCCTCTGGGTGTCGTGCTAGAGACAAAACTCTTTTCCCTTAGCCTGGGAAGACAGCAGACAATGTTAAAAACAGGCCCTCCTTCTGGGGGCAGGGAAGAGATCACAGTAACTTCTTGGCTAGTCAGCTGACAGACTCTAAAGAGGCATCACAGACTTAAGTTTATCTAAGTGCTCTACTCCTGAAAAAGTATTTTTAACTACTAAAAAATTTTGTGACTGATGTGTAAATAACAGAGGTCTAAATAAGGTGAGGATTTTTCAGTTTCTAAGACACATTGGTTAACATCCAAAAGATGATCAACTATAATCAACTCATACAAGTAGAATCCCAAAGCATTGCCAACTGCCATCTGTCCACAATAAATTAATGTGACGGAAGATGAAAAGTAAAGGTCATACAACAAAAAGTCAGTACTCTATGAGAGGCTTTATATCTACACAAGAGTTCTACTTTCCTCTCCAGACAGGCTTGTTAAGAATTAAAGACAGATATACACAAAGGCATATGGGCCTTTCTTTTCCCCTTACTGAGGTGAAGCGACTGTGAGTGTAGATACTTTTAAAAGTCTGACTTGAAGGGCAGAGGCTGCAGTATGATATTTGGGGGGAGAAAGATTAGAAAGAGAGTATGAAAATTGAAATAGCAAATGCTTAAGCATGATTAAATCATGCTGAGTAGAGATAGGAAGAACAAAAACCAGAGAAGATAGCAGAGAGTCAACAGAGCAAAGTCCCTGAGGAAGGGAGAGAAGTGGCACACAGAGGTCCTGGTAGAAAGAGCAGCTGCAGCCCAAAGAGGAAAGGGTATAAGGGAGGTGAAGAGACAGGCACATCTGAAGGCTTGGGGTGGGTCAGGAAATTGAAGGAATATCCATTTTTTTTCTCTGTGAAGTTGATGGTGAATTCGGGTGTTTAGGGAGCATGAATAATCTGAAAGTGCTGCTATAATAATGGGGAGAGCCAGCCAGGGGAAGAAGGAAGGGTTTCTGACAGTGCTCAGGACCCAGCTGAGGTGGAGCCGGCCGGCTGGAGTGACATCTTAGCATCCATCCAGAGTCCTGTGGGAAGAAAGTGAGATACCAGAGTTGTTTGGCAATGTGAAATCAAGGAAGATTCAGCAGGGGCAATGTCTGGCTCGGTTTCAAAGATCATGGTGATGGTAGTGTTAGTGTACCATTGAGTCAGTTTCAAGTCAATAGTGACCTTGTATAGGGTTTCCAAGACAGTAAATCTTTACAGGAGCACAACATCTTATCTCTCTCTCACAGTTGGCTGGTGGATTTGAACTGCTGACCATGAAGTTAGTAGCCCAACTAGTAACACACTACACCACCAGGGCTCCTTTCAAAGATCATGTTATTGTAGTGCTGTCAAGTAGACTCGGACCCAGAGCAACCCTGTATAGGGTTTCCAAGAAGAAGCTGGTGAGCTTGAACCATGGACTTTGTAGTTCATATGGCTTTAAATCAAAGACCATAGAGACCAAAAAAAAAAAAAAGGAGCGAAGGGCATCCTAGGCAGAAAGAATAGTGTAACTACAAATACAAGGTAAGAGTTAATTCAAAATTTGGAAATTAAGAGATTTGAAGAAGTTTTGGAGTAAAGATGATTATTTGAGAGCAACCCTCCTCTAGGTCAGTGGTTCTAAATCAGGGTAATTTCATCCTCCAGGGGACATCTTAAGGAGCCCTGGTAGCAGAGTGGTTACAAGTCCGGCTGCCAACCTCAAGGTTAGCAGTTCCAAACTACCAGCGGTTCCATGGGAGAAAGATGAGGCTTTCTGCTTCCGTGAAGATTTATAGCCTCGGAAATCCTGTGCAGGGTCACTAGAGTAAGAACCGACTCCATGGTATTTAACAACAACAACAACAGGGGACATGTTGGCATTGTCTGGAGTAATTTTTGGTTACCACAATTGAGGTTGGTGGTGGCACAGCTACTGACATTGAGTGGGCATACTTCTAAATATCCTGCAATACACAGGCTATCCTCCACAACAATGAATGATCTGGTCCAAAGTGTCAACATTGCTGACACTGAGAAACCATGATCTAGGTTAAGTTATCAAAATGTTCCTCAATGTGTACAGTTAATTTTTACTACACCTGAGCCTCACAGGTGTTAAATATTTTGTTGAGCAGATTGTCCAATATGTTTTAGGCAGCGCTAACTTGTTGAGACTTAAGTTGTTACAGTAACAAACATCAACACAGTCAATTTCTGATATGCAGTGAAATTCTGACACATAGTCAGGCAGTAAGCATTTCTTGTCAGAGACCTAGAACTGGAAGACAATCAAGTGAATAGTGCATTAACTATGGAGGCAAAGAATTCCATTAAGTTTGTAAAAAATTCTAAAATTCACAATTAGATCACAAACACAAAAGGTTGACAGCCACTTCTCTGGTGGCAGGTGCAGCCATGGCAAGGGAAGGGATCAACATAAGCTCCTGATCTCAACCCTTCCAGCATCAAACCGTAGCATCAAACTACCCAGTAACTTATTAAAAGTTCCTCCAGGATGTGTTTTTGAAAGCTCCCTTCCTAATTCTGAAACACCCTCAAGTTTGGAAAGCACTGGAATAAACTGAAACAAAGAGAACTAAGAGTGAAACTTTGGAAAAGCCAATTATTAAGGAAGTGATGAAGAGACGGAGGAGCAAGTTTCCCAAAAGCTATTTTAGGCTGAGACTCACTTGAGTCTCAGGAATGGCTTGGAAGCTTTTGTTCCTAGGTCCCTGGTAATTCTGGGCAATCATGGACAGAAATAAGAAGGCAGATTTTGAAATATTTGGTTTATTCCTGGTCATTATGGTGTTCAAAAAAATCTGTGCAGGTATAGACATTTTTTTTTTTTTTTTGGGTAGGTAGTATAATATTTTGTACACTGGACTGTGAACCACAAGGTTGGCAGTTCAAGCTTACCAGCTGCTCCTCAGGAGAAAGATGAAGCTTTCTTCTCCTGCAAAGATTTACAGCTTTGGAAACTCTATACAGGGTTGCTATGAGTTGGAACTGACTCAATGGCACTTAACAACAACATAAATATTGATTAGGTCTGTTCTTGTATACACGTAATAATTTTTTGTGTGTGCAGCTGACATATCAATTACCAAAATTATTGACCTATTTTGATTGTGGATTTGTTTGTTCCCCCTTCACCTTTGCCAATTTTTGCTTCATCTATTAAAAAAAGAAAAGACCTTGAGCCAAAAGTACTCTGCCAAGCTACTTTCAAATCCCTCATCTATAAAGTACATGAAAGATAATATATAATTAGATTATTATTGTTTCAGGCCACTAAGTTTTAGGGTGATTGGTTGCACTACAATATATAAAATAAACAAAACTACAAAAAAAGACAACAGCAAACAAAAAACAATAGGTAAGAGCTGGTTATGCTTTATAATGTATTCTTGCCAATCGTTTTCCTAATGTGTATCTACAGTTCTTTAGGTGCTGTGTTTTTAGATTGTAAATGATTATAGGGTGATGGTATACTTTTAAGTTTCATAGATTTTCATTTGGATATATACACTTAGAATGACTTGACTTTCAGAATCTTGATTTTTTGGTTTTAGTATACAGTATTATTCTTATGTTCCATGACTTTTAAAAAGACACATCTTCTTTGGCTCAAAACATTACTTGATGAGCAAATAATACCAGAAGTCTCATGTACATAGCAACTAACAATTATTTTATCATTTATATGTTCTGTAAAGCCTGAGATGTGGGTGAATTTTAAAGAGGGGAGGGAAGAAGAAACCTTTTTGACTTTAGGTTTATCAGCAGGTAATTTCGTTTTCCAACTGACACTCAGAATCATAGACTTAATATTTCATTCCTTGGAACTTGGTAGAAATCAAGATGTTTATAAAAACATATGCTCTTTTCAGTGCACCAAAGTTTAGGCCACCAAGCTCTCCTTTTTAAGGAGCACTGACTGGAAGGCAGACCTGGGTGAACAATGGCTCTGCCATTTCTTAACTGTATGACTCTGGGAAATGACTACTGGCTCTGTTATCCTTTACTGCAGAGTGGGGATCCAAAAACCTACTCAGTTAGGATTTCTGGGAGGACTGTAAGAGGTAACAAATACAAACAGCTCAGAGCAGAGTACCCTGACCTTGAGCAGGCATGCAGTAATTATCAGTCCTCCCCACATGGCATAATCCCAGTTCAGAAAAAGACACAATCCAAGTCCCTAGAGCTCTGGTACTCATAGTGAACACTGCTGAGGCTTTACTGGGAAGCCTAGTTATGTACTCTGATTGAAGATGGAGATAAAACAAGCTTTTGAAACCTATAGGAGTCACAGACCAAGCTTCTCAACTTTAATGCTCTTAGGCACAGATGAGCCTGGCGCGGTAGCACATTGCCCATAAGTACAAAAGACTGGTGCAATCCTCATTAGAGGCAGTATTGCTCACTGTAACCTCCCACTTTAGCAACATGCAGCAGGTCCCTGTCTGCCAGAAAGGCCCGTGCTAGGTAGCTCTCAAAAGCAAGTGGGATACCCACTCAGAGTGGATCTTCTGCACAAGAGAAGTACAAACCACATTTTTTTTTCTTAAAGTGTCATAGAGTTGGTTCTAACTTATAGCGACCCTGTATAGGGTTTCCAAGGAGAAGCTGGTGGGTTTGAACTGCTGACCTTGCGGTTAGCAGTCCAGTGCTTATCCTTCAGCACCACACCAGATCCCCACGTCACAGTAGCAGTATTCTTTTTTAAACAAATAAAAGTTGACATACTTGCAGGGGAGAATTCGGACAACATCGTTCTGCTTATAGCTCTCTATGCAGACTGCACAATGATCAAAGTCAGGGTCTGTTTCCTGAAAAGAAAAGCACAGAAACAAGTCATGCTAAAAGTGCTTAAACAGAGGAGATACAATTCAGCGACGTGACTATAAATGAAAGGTTATTTAAAAACTTAATAAATTATCAACTGCTATCAGTACATGAGAAGTCCTGGTGTGGCGCTGCGGGTTAATGCACCAGAGTACAAAGTTGTTTGAGCTGCAAGGTTGGCAGTTCAAGCTCACCAGTTGCTCCTCGGAAACCCTACATAGGGTTGCTGTGGGTTGGAACTGACTCAACGGCACTTAACAACAACAATCAATACATTAAGGAGCTCTGGTAGCGTAGTGGTTACAAATTGGGCTGTGAACCTCAAGGTCAGCAGTTCGAAGCTACCAGCTGTTCCGCGGGAGAAAGATGAGGCTTTCTGCTCCTGTAAAGATTTACAACCTCGGAAACCCTGTGCAGGGTCACTATGAGTTGGAACTCACTCCACCGCACTTAACCACCACCACCTGATCAATACATTGGCCCAAATTATGATACTATCTAAGTCAATCTATTTTATTTAAAAATATGTTGTGGCAATATTAATTGTTTATGAATATTTTAAGACAACTCAGACTTCAAGTTTTTTTAAAGATCCAAATCAGCAATAATTGTGTTCATCCTTATATCCTCTTTTCACCCAACCTTTAGCTGGCAGAAAGTTTCAGTCATCAAGACTATGATTAGTTATCTTGTTAGTCACCTTAATTTTCAGTCATTTTTCAAATACTCACAATCACAGTGCAATTTTCTTTCAATTCCTGGAAAAGCTCCAGTTTAAAGCATTACCATTAACAAATCCTTTCATTGTGTTCAGTCAAAACTTTCTTATTATGCTCCTCTAAATACAAATTTATTTTATACACACACAAAAAAATCAAACTTGTAACACTGCCAAAAGACTAGATCTATATTGTTACATTAATATTAAATTACTCTTTCAAGCTATTCTATATTCAATTGCATTTAATTGCCTGTTATGTCCTGAGAAGCAGGGAAATAAAAATGGATAAGATACTCACAGGTCACACTGGTGAGTAACACTGAGACAGACTGTTATTAAAAAATATCATGAAAAAGAAGAAAAGGACAAAGAGAAAGAGAAAGAAACAAAAGTCTTATGAAGTAGTTCACACAGTGGCTGGGAATTAGGTAAGACACTCAGAGTGGCTGAAGACAAGAAAACTAAGTTGGGTCTTAGAGGATAAAAGGGATCTGGACAGACACTTTTAAACAAAGGAAATCAAGAGGTGGTGATAATACGGCACTGTAACTGAACAGCCAACAGGTTGGTGGCACTGTTGTGGAAATCGGTGCTAAAGTGTTTGAAGGAAAGTGGGTGATAAAAGCACTATCTTGGGAAACGAAACTGACTGTGGTATGCAGAATGGCTGAAGAAGGGGTGGCAAGAGTGGCTGCAAGGGGGCCTTGTGCAGCAGCTTCCAGGGTAAAGTGATGACTGGGACCACAGAAGGGGAAGGAGCAGTGGAAAGGCTGAGACAGAAATGACATTTCTACTGATAAAAATAGATCTGATTATCAACTAGAAAAGTAATTCTCTAGTATGTATTGGTGACTTTTTAGAATGACAGAAAAGCTGGTTAGAGAAGGTGACGTGAGGAAAAGATGATGAGCTGGGTTTTGAACATCTTGAGTGTGAGGTGACAGCTGAAGGAATGCCTAGAGCACCCCTAAGAAGACTGACTAAAGATCAACACAGAGGTGGTGGTTCTAGCCAAGAGATGGGCTGCAAAGAGAAGATGGGCCTTAGGAAATCTGACATGAGCGAAAAGGATAAGGGAGTAAATAGTTTAAAATAAGTCATTCTGTTTCTAAGCACTATTGAACAGAAAGGAGTGAAATATCCCATCATACTATATTAACTTTGCTGGTTGCCCAGGAAAATGACATTTGGTCATCTAGTACGGCAATATGAGACAAAGGTAGAGATGTCAAACGTATTAATTTCAGTAACTGTGATTATTTTATATTAGTTTACAAAAGTCTTTTGAGTTAATCAATTTCCTTTTAGCTAACATCATATGTATCTTAGCAAAAAGTATTCAACTGTCACTCTAGGACCCCTTGTGCAATTCTGAAATTAAAACCTAAAAACAAAACAGACTATCTGAAAACAAAGGCAAGAAACAAGGTGACACCTATGATATCCCAATTCATATCTGGAAAGACTTTGTAGACCATAGAAGTGAAGGGAGTGGGAGCCCAAACAGAGTCCAGTGCTCTGACTAAGTTAAAAAATACAGAATTTGGCTTTTGGAGATGCCAATGCAACTACAATTTACAGGGATAAAAAACAAAAGTGAGGGAGCTGCAGAAAAAGAGATCTTCAGACTTACAGAGAAGTCTTCTTAAGTATTTGAGTACTGACCTGTACATACTTGGGAGGAAACTATCCAAGGCCAGGTGAAAGTACAACTGGAAAAGTAGGTGGAACAACCTTTTTTTTTTTTAACCGGCTGGGCCCATGGAGGGTGTCAAAGAGAAGAAGAAGTTTCCTGCTGTGCCAGAGATCCCTGAAGAAAAAGTGAAGGCGTTTTGCAGACCTAAAGATCAAGCGCCTGAGAAAGAAGTTTGCCCCAAAGATGCTTCAAAAAGCAAGGAGGAAGCTTATCTATGAAAAAGCCAAGCACTATCACAAGGAATATAGGCAGGTGTTCAGAACTGAGATTTGAATGGCTAAGATGGCAAGAAAATGGGCAACTTCTATGTACCTGGTGAGCCCAAGCTGGCATGTGTTATCAGGATCAGAGGTATCAATGGTGTGAGCCCAAAGGTTCAAAAGGTGTTGCAGCTTCTTTGCCTTCCCCAGATCTTCAATGGCACCTTTGTTAAGCTCAACAAGGCTTTAATTAACATGTTGAGGATTGTGGAACCATATATTGCATGGGGGTACCCAAACTTTAAATCAGTAAATGAACTGATCTACAAGCGTGGATATGGCAAAATCAGTAAGAAGTGAATGTTCTCAAATTGAAAAAAAAAAAAAAGTAGGTGGAACAAATCCCAGAGTTTAAAAAGGGCTGAAAATAATTCATGTTTCAATAAGCAATAGTAGATTATTGCTCTCTTAACACAATATCCAACAACAAATAAAATATTGCTAGGCTTACAAAAGAAGTAGTAAAAAACAATCCATAACTCATCAATAGAAACAGACCTAAAAATGATAGATAATTAGCAGATGACGGTTATGGTTGATGGTTATGTGCTGTGGAGTTGGTTCCAACTCATAGCATAAGGTTTAAGGCTGTAAAAATCCTCATCTTTCTCCTGCATAATAGCTGGTAGTTGCAAACTGCTGACCTTGAGGTTAGCAGCCTGACTTGTAATTACTACATTATCAGAGCTCCTTCATTAGCATATAAGAACATTAAAACAGCTATTTTAAATATACTCCATAACAAAACAAAACAAAGCCACTGGCACTGCGTCAATTTTGACTCACAGCATCCCTCTACAGGGTTTCTAATACTGTAAATATTTAAGGGAGCAGACAGCCTCATCTTTCTCCTGTAGAGCAGCTGGTGGTTTTGAACTGCCAACTTTTTGATTAGCAGTCCAACATCTAAAAACATATTCCATAGGGTCAAGAATTTAGAAGAAAACTTGAATATGATGAAGAGAAGAATGCAAAATGTATAAAAGATCAAAATCTAACTTTTGGAGATGAAAAACAACAATATCCAACATGAAAAGCCATCCAATGGAATTAAGAGCAGATTCGACACTAATTATTTTATATTATTTGACAAAAATCTTCTGAGTTAAATGAGTTCTTTCTAGCTAATATCATATGTATCTTAGCAAAAGTCTTCAACTGTCATTCTAGGATTCTAGAAGAAAAAGTCAGAGAAATTGAACATTGCACTGGAAGCTAGCTAAAATGAAACACAAAGAGAAAAAAGACTGGAAAAAATGAACAAGAGTATCTATGAGCTTGCGTGACACCACCAAGACATATATTTAACATATGTGTAAATTTTAACTATCAGGGATAGGAAAACAGAACAAATTATTTGGTAAAATAATGGCAGAACATTTGCCAAATTTGATTAAAATTATAAACACACAAAAAACTCCAAATTATTTTAAATCCAACAATAAAGATAAGATCTTACAAATAACCAAAGTAAAAAGATATTATGTAGAGAGGAATGAAAAGACAAATGACAGTAGACTTTTCATCAGAAATGAGGCAAACCAAAAGACAATGTAATAATATCTATAAAGCACTAAAAGAAAAACATCAACCTACAACTCTATATCCAACATTAATATCTTATAAATGTGAAGGAGAAATAAAAATATTTTCTGACAAACAAAAGGTTGAAACATCTCCAGTAGATGAGCGCTACAAGACAGAAAATGATACCAGATGAATATCTGGATCTTCACAAATGCAGAGCACTAGAAATATACCAAAATATCAAATGTCTTTTACTTACATTTAAAAATTACCTAGGTCTATCTTCAGCAATTCTTTTGAGATGCTCTGAGAAGCAGAATGCAGATGTTAAGTACTCAAAACTGCTTGTACTCAAACCTCAGGTCTGTCATTTCTTGCCTGTTCATCCTTGAGCAATTTACTTAACCTCTCTATTTCTTCCTTATCCCATCTATATACACTAAGGATAAGAAGAGCTAACCACATTGTGCAGATTTTAAAAAGACAACACAGATAAATTATCAATGAATATTAGTTATTATATTTTCAATCACTATATTTCATTTGTACTAATTTTCTATTAATCATAACAAATGTTGGATAACACATTGCTAAGAATGGGAATTCCAGAACATTTAATTGTGCTCATGAAGAACCTGTACACAGACCAAGAGGCAGTCATTAGAACAGTACAGAGGGGATAATGAATGGTTTAAAATCAGAAAAGGTATGTCTCATACCAATTCAATCTGTATGCTGAGCAAATAATCCAAGACGCTGGATTATATGAAGAACATGGCA